TTTATTTAAATGTTCGCTTACATTTTATATAAATAAAAAGGTACTTTAATATACTTGCGCTCTTATTTTTTTTATTTTTATTAATGTCAAAGGAAGATTATGCATTCCTAGTAACTACATTTTTAATATCAAACGACTGCCGTCCAGAAATTCAAACTCAAATTCATTTTTAATCTCGATTTATTTCTAATTAAAATTGTTTTTGAAACGTAAAGTTTACTACGTTTTAATTTATATAATGATAACCGTACGAACAAACTCGAACGCGACAACGCGCACGGCACGTCAGAGCCACTAATTCCGAGAACCAAATATCCCGATATACTTTACCTAGTTTTTTTGGGACCTTAATCATTACGGTCACGCGATCTGACGTGTACACCGTGCCCGTTGTACATCTCGAATTCATGCGATTTCAATTATCTCTACACCAATCTGTGTAATTATTACCATCAAACCCGCTGCTTTGCACGATCGATAGCCGTGATCGTGGTCAATTGCTTACGATATAAAATCACTACCTATCAACAAACTGTAATGAATGTAATGTAAAAAGCATCTTTGTACAATAAAAGTTACTTAAGCGTAATAAAAAAGTTAAAACATGTGTGGTCTAAAATCGTGACTAGCGACCGGTAAACTAACTATTTAGATGAAATATAAAAGTAATTTATTTCAACAATGAAGATTGGTTGCAGTCATAACCGTGTGAATCGCTCGCAAAGTATAGGGAGGGAGTATGGTCTCAGTATTTTCATTAAAGAAGCCGTCTCATTATAGACACGGCAAGCGCTCGGCAGCGAGCCCCTGGTGGCAATTAACGCGCTACGAAACTTTATTTAATCCGTTGTCGAGTGACGGCGCCCCTCGCAGCGCTCGCCGCCGCGCTCAAACGACTGACTCGAGGAAATTATACCAAGCCACGAATTCCGCTTCATTTGCGACGCTCGACTACTCGCACTTCATGTACTCCTGGTACACGACAGTTATTACTGTTAACTTATTTCGAAACAAAAGAAACGAACTTTAACTAACTAACTGTAGCAGTTAGTTGTTATTCTTTATTTAATTTTAATAATGGAACTCCGCGATCTTATGTTTGAGAGGGTTAATACAATTTTAAATATAAAGTTATTGAGGTTACGATTTTTTACAAATGGTATCCATTGATGTTAATTACTTTGTGGTTTACTTTTTAAAGGTTTAGAAAAACTAACTTTTTAAGGACTTTGTTGATATTGTTGAAGCGTACATTGCATTAAACGATTACACAAAGGAAGCACAAAGTAAACTAAAACATTGTAAACACATTTCAGAAACAACATTCCGACACGAAAGATGCACAGCATGAGTTCTGTTTAAACATATTTACGGGCTACAAAATGTTACTTATGTTCTTTGTAAAACGTAGCAGCGCTCGCTGGAAACGTAACAAAACGAAAATAACATTTGAATTTATATTCACACACCATTATAATAAAGATTAAACAAAAAGGAAATGCACATCATCTTTAAATTACAGATAATGTTTAGATTTTATCTGAAATCCTTTTAAGTAACACATAAAATAAAATTGCCATATTTGAGGACAAAATCACATAATGTACAATAAGTGAATGAATTTAAACACAATATCTGTTTATCAAATATTTTTAGGTCTTGAAAATTTTATAAAGATAAGGAAAAATCCATAATCTTTATTAATTTTGATGTTTTCATCTAAAACGTACCAAAGGAGCTACGTAAAACATTATGGTATCAAACAAACATGAGGTTTTTGGTGAAAATAAACATTATTGCGATAAAGATATTGTATTCCGATCTAACACACCCACGAAAACTAATTTGTAGCAAACGCGTTCACTCTTTATGAATATTTCTCTATCTTTTTGATAAAAACGTTTCGTGTCGAGATAAAAAGACGTAGTTGACAGAACTGTATCCCCAAAGTAATTGGAATGTCTCAAGATTATAAAAGATTAGCGTGAACGAATATTATGCTGAAAACTTTGTATGTAAATGAGCAATATTTATATACTACCATTGCCAAAAAATACGGGAATGTTTTAACCACAAATTGTGTTTTGTATTTTTAAATTTACCCACAATTGATTTAAGCATTTTATGTACGGGTTTCATCATACCATAACAAAATTTATTTCTAACTAGCTTTCGTCCGCGACTACGTCCGCGCGGAATAAAAAAAAAAGCAAGTGGCCTATGTGTTCTTCCTGACTATACTCTACATCTATGCAAGATTTCATTGAGATCCCTTCAGCTGTTTAAGCTATAAACTCTAACAAACATCCATCCATCTAAACTTTCGCATTTATAATATTAGTAAGATAAGTGATATTATATCACTAAACATCAGTATTTCTGTAAGTACGTACTGGAAACATGTAATTTAGTTGTCCTATCCTCGGCGGGCATAGAGCAAGACATGAACAGAGCAGACATTAGCATTAACACAGACTAAATAATAATTAGCGCGCGGTTGGACTAATTAGCAACAGCTGCCAGTAGCTGCGCGAGCTTATGCAACCCTGTTATTATCAATTCGACCGAGATAGATTGAAACATGATGCTTAATGCCTAATGACACGTCTGTTTGATTAACTTGTTAACAAACAGAGGTCAAAATTCAATTATTTATTTAATACCTTTGTTTCAAACACAAGATAATAACTGTAATAAACTATGAATTTAATAAAACAAACAAAACTGTTAAACCAAGGGCAAAACAATAAAATCAGCTGAAATACAATTTAAAATTCTCAAGGAATACAAGTAAATAAAAATTCCTATACATTTAAAGTTTAGTTAAGAAATAAAAGAATCACATCAAAATTATAAAAGTCGGATTAAAAGAAAACAGTAATTGATCTCGGCTTGAAATATAAGCTTGTCATTAAAATATCTCGTTTTTGATTTAGCGAGGCGTAATTTAAGGCGATACAAATAGAAGTGGAGTGGCCGGCGAGGTTTCTTTGAGGGGCCGTCTTTAAATAGACGAATGCGGTTACGTGGGTGGCGGGCCGCATCAAAATATTACCGGCTATAAACATTCGTAGCCACCGGAGTCACGTCCAAATTGCTGGCTAAAATTTTCTTTCGTCGAATGTTTATTCCGGTAATATTTCGATTCTGCGATGTTTAGTCTGTGACGTGTTGCTTAATTTACAACCGCAGAGCTCGGCGCTCGGCGCTCGGCTTGCCTCAGCTCGTGTGTACGTTTTAATTCTGAATAAACGTTTGGAAATATATTCCGTCACGCGCACGCTCCTTCCATTTTATTGAAAGACAAATGAGACGGCCGAGGATTTCATTTACGTTAATTTTAAATAATGTACATATTACAGATATTTATAAATACTGGTTTATAAATGATCATATTTAAGTGTAGATTTATAATGACAGTAAAATATGCGTCCACATTTTTTAGACAAACCAAAAGATGATTTCCATTTAACCTTTCTACGATATTTATACTCTATGATCGTGTGTTGTGTTCAAGTGAAATTGTACAAACATTAATAAAATGTAGAGAAATTGTTTATTTTCTTCCCTCTGCGCTTTGAGATCCCTTTAAAATATCTTTAAAATATATTCTTATTCAAAACGTCGAAGGCCTTTATCCACCCGTCCGCACGACTTGTACGAACGAAGAAGGCCCTTTTGTAATATCTGAAATAACCGCACATTAATTCGATTGTTATTATTCCGTGTTTCAAAAGCAATCAATGAAATGAAAACGGCATTACAAAAGCGACTTGGCCACCGCTATGAATAAATTTAACATCAATTGATATTTCATGATTGAAAATGGAAATTACTTATAAATATTAACTTTATAACGGTCTATTTATTGACCACAAAGTATTACTACAATAAAATCAATTTGTTATCTGTTCTCTAAAGAAAGGAAATAAGTAATATTTCTTTTAAATTTTATATTACTTACTTCCAACGATTTCAGAACAAAGAATCCAAAGCTCGCTTGTACCAGGAACTCAGAACGAAGTGGTAGTCACAAACGTACACACAAGCGCAATAAAATACGAACGCACACAACGAGATTCATCCGAGCACAAAATGGGAGGGTGGGTTCGCCGCCCTGAATCTCGACGAGGGTAGAATTTAAATAATTCAGAGCGCGGGTATAACTGCGTGCCGTCGTCTTTAACAAACAAATTACGTATGCACACCTAATAACCAGCTCCATGCATGCCTTCTGGGTATATGCAGATGAGCTATCAAATACTTAATAAACACTGGTTACGTATTCAATATTAAATTGTTATCCAAAAGGATATTAAAAAAATGTCACATGCACCAGTAATTCGTTACTTTTTTATTCCTTTTTCGTGCAGCCGGTGTTTTAAACCCAATGTAAGGATTATAAATTCTACAACTTAGCGCCTGAAATATCGTTTAGAAAATAATTTAATAGAGGCCATATAAGTCTAATAGAGAACCCAGAAATAAAATGTTATCTATTTAGATTCTTGATATAAAATAAATTAAAACGACATTTCATGACCACACATTGAATGTGTTATTTGTCGAAAGATAAATAAACAAATAAAATAAATCACAAAATACATTATATATCTTAATAGAATAATAAAGAAACAAAAAAGATCGAATGATTATATTTTTATAAGAACGAAGCTCCACGGATTAAATAAATACAAACAATAAAAAATAAGGTGTTGAATTTTCAAGCGTCGCTTGCTCCATCTCAATAATCTGCTTTAAACGTCGACACAAAGTAAGGAAAGTAGGCAGAGCGTAGCGTCAAAGAGATTGAATATCGATTGTCGAGTCCACAGCAATCTCAGCGGCGAGGCGGCGGAGGGGACGAGGAGGCGCAGTGGGTGGGGG